TTGCAGCAAACTTTTTGTTTGTAATGTGTCAGCAGAAATGTCCTTTATGTTACCTCATCTAATTCTTTACAAATACACTTTGGAAGGCTGTCCCCCATGCATCATCCTAACATTGTTTGGTCCTGATAGCATTCTGTGTGTGACGCTCCTGGCCCAGAGAATCTGCTCCTTGTAATAACTGATTCAATAAACTGTTGACAAATGATTTGTATAATACAGTATGGCCAGTGAGCAAGGTTTGTCTCCATCATTACACACCACATTCAAAGCTTCCACAAACACCGCTCCGCCCCTCTCGAGCTAGAGCTCCGTGCACCCTTCTGAATAGCAATCCACAGATCAATACACTGTCTGCTGAAAACAACAGGACATAACAAATGCATGATTTTATTTACAATAAAAGCCCCAGTCACCAAATGGATTCCACTCATGTTCAAATCCATTTTTCATGCTCCACTCAAGAGGAGAGGTGGACACAGCCTAACAGGGGGAGGGGCGAGGAGAAGGACAAACTGTAATGTGCCAATTTATTTAAGCCATGAACAAGAGCTGAGCTGTACTGAAACATATGAATAAAATGTTCAACAAAATTCTGAAGATGCAATTCTTCAAAATGAGTCTATTCTCTCACCAAGAAAGCTTTAAAAGCATTTTCCTGTACCCAGAAATTAATGGGTTAAAGACATTCTGACATTCTTTTTGGAGTGCTGCACCACAGAGGCCGAAGCCTATTCAGTTAGCTCTAAGAACTTGGCAAGAATTGGGAGCATTTGCTTTCTGTGTGAGGGAAGGAACTGAATGAAGCACTGCTTGCTTCAAAGCACACCTGTGGCCCTGGTCGGACAGTTCCTTTTCTACTACAAAAGCTATCAACACTCCCGTGACAGGGAGAAGGGAGGTGACTCAGCTGGTACCGAACTTGTCTGGCAAGCATGAAGACAGAGTGTGGATCCCCATAACCCACACAAAATCCTGACATGGCAGCACATGCATGTAATTCAACTCCAGAACTCCTGTCGTGGGACGCATGGGACAGACAGTCTGTGTCCCCAGTAACAAACTGTAAGAGAGCCCAACTCACACAAGGTGGAAGACGAGCACTGGCACCCGAGTGCTCCCTGAGCTCCACATGTGTGCCTATCCACAGATGCGACAGACAGAGAAACATTTTCTCTTTGAAGTCAATAAGCAAAATCTAAGGGAAAGGGGGCTGGTGGGACAGCCAAATGCTAGTGAGGACATCAATTCAAAGACAGTGCTTACAAGTCACTCATCAATGCCACACTCCCCACAGTGTGCTTGGATATCATTTTTAAAAATAATAAAAGAGCTATTCAAAGCAAAAAAAATCTACTTTACATGAATTTGCTATAAAACTGCCCTGGAAGCACAGGACTGTCAGCCGAGGCTGTCTATCAGCTCATTTCCTCCATCTGGACTTAGCCCTCAGCCCCCAGACAAACAATACGGGACTGAAAACAGAGCTGTGACGAAAGAGGAAGGGGGATCAGGGCAGCCGGCCTGAACACAGTGCTACAAACTCTGGAGTAGAGGGTGGCTTGGCTCTGGGCATGGCAGGAAAGGCGGACAGCAGGCCCTACTGCCTGGTTCCATTAATTACACCACGGTATTTGCTCAGTGTTTGCAGTTTCCGCTTTAATGTCAGTTACAATCGTACTCAGCATGCTAGGAAAACAGGTTAACAGCTAGTCCTCCATGCAGAAAGGAAGACTGCAGAGCCAAACAAGAACGCACAGTGCTCTATTCCGAGGCGGCTTGGGAGATAGGGCATGGTGCCAGGAACAGAGTAAGGGCTGAGTAAGCAGGGCTGAATGAATCAATGTGTGAAGAAGGAATGAAATGTCACAAGCCATCCGCACATCTTTACCAAGAGGGAGGAATACTTATCATAGCACCACAGTTGAAAGGAAAGGCTGGGAAGAGCCTCAAGGTGAAGGGAGCAGAGGAAGTGTTAAAGGGAAACACACAGTGAGCAGGTGACTGGAATGACAGAAACTTACAAGATACTAAACATCTTTAAAAAACTTGCCACAGAGTTTGGACATTTTCTTCAAAATGGTCTGCAAACAAGGGGAGTGGAACATGATATGGTCAGAAGTTACCGGGTGGAGAGGCCTAAAGGAAGAGGCTGCAGAAAGCCAGGTGATCCATGCTGGCGAAGCGTAGAAGCCCCTCACCGTTGGTTTTATGAAATGTGAGCAGGCAGAGCTAGCCACAGGTACAATCCCTATCTCAGGATAGAAGACCGTGGCTTTCTGCAAACAAGCACCTGCCTACTAAGATGCTTCTCAAGGCTGTGAACCCCCCCCACACACACATACACACACTAGTGTGCAAAGGTAACATGAAAGGTTACACAGTAATCTAGGACAGCATTGTCTCAATGTATTATCTACCAGCTCCCAGCCGTTCCCAACAAGGCAGCTCTGAGGTGGTCTCTCACATGTGCCCGTTCCCAAAACACCCGGGCTCTCACCCCCTCCCACAAAAGCAGGTTCCTTCCAAAGGCTGGGGCGCTCGTGCTCATTAGTTAGAAAGCTCTTGTCATTGTCTCACAGATAGGGCAGCTGCTAAGGTTTCACTTTCAAAATGATGAGCCCAGGGCACAGTTTCACTGTTGCTCATGACTCACTGTGGCCATTTCCTTAAAAGGAGACATTCCCAGATTTTGTCAGATATTTCCCCAGTCTCAGCATCATACTTTCCCAGGTGGTTCAACAGATCATGGGGGGAAAATCAAGTACTATCAAGTTATGAATGAAAATTCACAAGACAGAATCCATTAATGGTTAATAAACCATTTAACACACACTATGCGTGTGTGACATCAGGGTATGAAGATTCATTTGTCTAAATTCTCATTTTCATCCCTAGTTCTCCTACTCTTGTTAAAAGTCAATTAAATCGCCGGGCGGTGGTGGCACACGCCTTTAATCCCAGCACTCGGGAGGCAGAGCCAGGCGGATCTCTGTGAGTTCGAGGCCAGCCTGGGCTACCAAATGAGTTTCAGGAAAGGCGCAAAGCTACACAGAGAAACCCTGTCTCGAAAAACCAAAAAAAGAAAAAAAAAGTCAATTAAATCTAACACATAGAAAATAATGTAATTATATCTTTATTCTTTTGACATCTGACTATATTTGTTTCTAAAAATTCCCCAAGGCAAAATGACCATCACACACTTGTAGTAAAATCAAAGGAAGAAACAAAAATGCTTTTATTCCAAGAAGTTCAGGGTCCATTTGAAGAATGCAACATAAAATTAATCCACAACTTAAAAGCTGTCCTGTTTCACAGCCTCCTTAACTCACTCTGCCTTGGGTTTTCGTTTCAGAAGCAGAGAAAGCTGAGTTCTCAATAATGAACATTTAGCTCAACTTTAAAACCTTTAAAATTTTACAAAAAAAGTTAAATGCTAGAACACTTTTCATCCAACATTATTTAAAAATTGATAATGTGTTCATTGTTTTTATAATTTTGCAAAATTTAATAGGTGAAATTTAGGCTTAGGATTGAGAGTTTAGTATAGAATCACAATTTTATGTTTTAGGTGATTTTCCTTTCAACCAAGCAAAGTTTACATTACTTGGAAAGTAAGTTATTCATGAAGTTCTTAAGAACTTCAAACATTTTCACTGAAAAAAATTACTCCAAAAGTATCTTGAAATATTTATACATTGAGGACTATACTAAGGAATTAACTTCAAAGCCAAACCATGGTTCAGTGTGGAAAATACCTATTATCTTAAAATATGAAGCCTCCTTCTTGTTACCCCTTGCATAATAAAATAAGGAGGAAAAGAAAAGCATTGTGGAAACTCTATAAAATCCACATATACACAGCCAGGAAGGATATGTTCAACATGAAAAAAATCACCTGCTCTGAGTGTCCCACCCATTCCAATCTCCACTGCCGAGGAGAAGCTCCTGTTGAATCCAGTAGAGTGAAAGTTCTTCCAACAAAATAAAGTAACTCAACCAGTACTCACTGTGGAGAATCGCCTAGAAACCAGTGTTTCTCCCAAGAGAAAATGACAGTTCAAATTCCAGCACAGATCACAATATTCATAACATGTTAGATTGTGTCTCCTAGTAACATCTGAAGCTACACCCATAAAGCATTACTAATATGACTGCCTAAACATGAGCTGAGCAAGGACAACACCAATAGACAGGATAAAGTGGATGGGGAAAGACCATGAGGCCTTAACCCTACACAAAGAACTACAGGCAATTAAGGAATGCCAAGAGTGGGACAAATAGGCTTCCCTAGAGAAGACACACCAATTGGTTATCCAATACCAAATCATCAGCCCTGAAAATACACATACAAGAAACATTATAGAGACTGAGCATGTTCTATTTAAAGAATAGATATGTATATAGTTGCATATACATATATATGTATCTAACAAGAATTAATAAAAATGAGGCCATTAATTTGAAAGAGAAAGAGAAGTGGCTTAGATAAAGGAAAGAGAAGGGGGAAATGATGTAATTATGTTATAATCTCAAAAATAAAATAAAGTAAAACAAATGAATAAATTAAACAATCTCCATTAAGAAAAAAAAACTTTAATTCTCCTGTAATCCCTTAATTCCACCTTACAGAATCACCATCCAGTTTCTAACCCTCCATTAAAATTCACAATGAATAAAAGGAATTCAAAGTGCCCATTGGACCAATTTTAGAAACACCTATTTATTTACACAGCTATGGTAGTGAAAAGGTCAACCAAAAATTCCCCTCCAAAGCTACAGTTGCTAAGCAACCTTCCTCAGAAGTTCTGCAACACTGCTCAAGCATATTCCGGGTGCCACCAGCTGGATTCAAAATAAATATGAATAACATCTTACCTCGTTACTCCAAATGGGAAGGGAGGGAGATTCCTTGCTTACCTTTTGTAGACAGGCACTAAAGGCTGATTCTATATTAATTTGGTTGGTTGGGTTCATGTGCTTCTTTTACAAGAAAAGGATACGGCCAGGTACAACGGGTTTCCTATTTACCAGGGCGAAGGACAGTTCAGTTTTGAGAAATACCACAGAGGGTTTGATGAGATGTTGGCCAAATCTAAATGACATGGTCTCACAGTGAATCTGAAAGAGAAAATAATTTAGGAAATGAGCATTCAAAAGAGAAAACAACTTGGTTCATGGACCACTTTAAAGAAGGCAAATACCATTAGTAAAGATTCTTGAATGCAAAGAGAATACCATTTAAACTGGTCCTGTTAATCTCCCCTCAGATGAACTCCAGGTAAATTCTCTGGAATATTCCCATCTCCCTACAATGCTACCTTGGTTCCAGCGAAGGTTGTAAAGTAGAAGCTGGAACATGGATGACAAAGCAGCCTTTCCCTGCCCTTCCAGGTTGTCACCTCAAATCCACAAGGTCCTATTTACTGAATACTTACTTTAACCCATTGATCTCATCATCACTGCTAACGTGGAATTATTCATTGTAAAGTACTGAGTACAAACATAATTCTTAAAAGCTTCTTTCAAATGCTTTTATCTTTGTTTGTACAACAGCAATTTAGCACAAGTACAAACACTGTCTGACCTTGCCTACAATTACAAAACACACGTTCCCTGAGAACTATTACAATTCAGTTGCCATAATTAGAGCGAAAAGGAAGGAATGAACAAAACAGAGTCTCCGATGAGACTAGTTCCTGGCTGATCCAGAAACAGACCAGGTAACGAATGTTAATTTCTCCATGTCCTCCTTCTGAGGGAGGCTCCATGACAGTGTTACAATTTGACATAAAATATCCCCCACAAGCTTATGTGTTGAGCACTTGGTACTGATGTTTTGGGAGGTTCTTGAAAAATTAGAGGAAGGGGATTGGTTGGCAGAAGTAGATGATGTGTGTGTTGCATGGGAGCGCGTTGAAGGTTCTACCTGCCTCTGGTGGCTGCGTCTTTCCCTTTGTTATCTGTCATGAGATGAATAGCCTGCTCCTACCACCATGATTTTCTGTAAACTAGAAGTCTGAAACTTTGAACCAAAATAAATCTTTCCTACTCTAAGTTGTTTATAACAAATCTTTTGTCATAGCAGTGTGAAAGAGAATGAACATGAGGGAGAATAAAATGAAATTGAGCACTTGGCAGCCATGGTGGACAAAAACCCACCCATGCCCCAGGAATAATCTTAACTAGGTGATGCGTACATATGAGTGATTCCTGAGTAACTAAGGCCCTTACATTTTTGTAAGTCAAGAGCAGCTGATGGCCAGAGACCAACCTATAAGAAAAACAGAGATGAAAGATGAAGAATCAGAAAAAAAAGGATGAAGTTAAAAAAATGAAAACTATTGACAAGTAAACCAAATAACTGCATGATGATTTAATGAGCCAAATGTTTAAAATGAGAGCTATATAAAAGTCCTCTACTGCAGTAGACTGAACTTCATGCATTCTGTGCTCAGGACTCAGGTGGGAAGACTCATGTCAAGAATAGAGATACTTGTTTATAAAATACTTAAACCAGTTCATAAAAATTAAGGGTCAGTAAGGCTATCAAACACCATCTAGCAAAGTGGCTTTTCAGGCATGCTCTCTGGGAAGCTATCAAAGCTACAAATTTGTATTTCCTATAGCTCCAGCCATGTTACCATGAATTTTCCATGGTTGATGCTTCACCATGTTTTAAGGTAGGGCTCTTCTTCTTGTTGAATCCAGGTCTTGGGAATTGACACAAGTACCTGCAGTCCCCTAGCACACTACTACTTTGGGAGTGGACATGAACACAAGGTAAGATAATCAAAGACAATCAAATCCCCCAGCTAATCACAACCCATGCCACAAAAGGTCCTTTCTTAAAGCTTAACTGTCAGTCTGTCAGTCTGTCAGTCTGTGAGAGTGACACCGCAGCAAACAGAGCCCAGACACAAGCCCACACCTAACAATGCCAGAAGGAGCAGCCTCCCTGGCATCTGTTCCCCTTTAAGGGTGACTGGACAAACCTGACTTAAGCGTGGGCACTAGCTGACGAGCTGCTGCTACCCTGAGTCCTCGATTGGTACTTCTTTGGTCTTATTTGTCTTTTTTTTTCACTTTTATCCTCAAACCATCTTATCTCCTCACAACTCAAGGATATGCTGCAGCACGATTAATATAGTATTCATGTTCTTTATAGATTTGTGTACATGTCTTCCATATGTCAAAATATGGAGGGCTCGCAAAACATTTAATTTTAATTTTACATGAATTATTTGTTTTAAATCTCATCTGTTTCTTAATTCTGGTTTATCCACTCACAGCAATCTACCGTGGCTTTTGTGTACAGTTTGCCCCTGCTCAAGAGTTTCTCCAGCTACAATATTTCACCATGAATAACACTGTGATTTCTATTCTAATGTGCATCATACAGCCTTAGAACAGGGTTTTAGGTCACAACCTTACCCAGCTTTTCTACGACATAGGTCCCAGTTTGCATTCCCAAGAGGAACACACAGAGATTTTCCTCTGTCCCTGCCAGCACTTGACACTATCCGCTTTCATGACTGACAGCTAAAATGGTATCTCAGGCACAGCTCACCCACCTGCTCTCCCTGGGGCCTACCCACACTACCCGCACTCTCAGGCCTAAGTGAGGCCTGAAAAATGACTTCACCAGTTGGACAGTGTGCGCACAATGGATGGAGGAAATGTCACAGGCCCACTCCTAGATGAAGACATGCAGGCAAATAACTGCTGTTGAGAAAGAGAGACTCCGTCTTCCTCAGGGACAATCCCAGAGTTTACCCAATCAAGAGGTCAGCCCTCAAACACGTCAGAGCAACACTAAATGGACTCAGCAGACTGTAATTCTACAAACCTCTCTCTCTCTCTCTCTCTCTCTCTCTCTCTCTCTCTCTCTCTCTCTCGTGTGTGTGTGTGTGTGTGTGTGTGTGTGTGTGTGTGAATAATTAAAGAAGAATATGAGGTGGAGTCAAGGGAGGAGTTGAAACGTGAAAGGGAGAGGAACAGAAATCACACAAATACAGTATTCATGTATAAAATTCTAAAAATAATTCATTAAAAATGGTGTCTCTTCCTTTGAACTCACTTGTCTGTTCCAGTGTCATGTATACTTTGCCTTCCACAAATTACTGATTTATATACTTCATCCTCCTTTTTACAAGTCACCTCCCTTCTGTTTCCTGGTTTTCCAGGGTGCACAGAATTGTCTAAGTATTCAGCATGATAATTACATTTTTACCATCTGTTATTTTTTCTGTTGTTCCCCCAAGGAACAAAATCCACTCATTTTGTTATAATCAAAATCATTATTTTTTTTATATTTTTCTCCAAGATTATTCAACATATCTTGCTCCATCATAAGGTCTCAAATGTGTATTTCAGCATTTTCCTCTATTAACTGTGTATCTTCATTTTTAATACTTAGGTGTATGTTCCATGTAAAGCTTTGCTCAAATTATGAAGTATGGGGTTCGAAGAGATGGCTAAGTGGTAAGAGCACTGGCTGCTCTTCCAGATGACCCAGGTTCAGTTCCCAGCACCGACATCTGTAACTGTCTGTAACTCCCATTCCAGGGAATCTGGCAGCTTTACAGACATCCATGCAGGCAAAATACCAATATCTATAAAATAAAAATAAATAAATATTTAAAAAATTAAACAATGAAGTATCAAAAGTTTCATTTTTCTTTTTCCATGGGTCAATTTTCTTATTCCAGTTCCTGAGAACACGCCCATATAGGCATAGCAGTGATTCTGGACTCCATCTGAGCCTATGCCTGATGCTCTAGAACAGCGGCTGCTAAACTATTTTCTATAAGGGACAGTTGCAACAGGCTACACAACCTCTTATAACTACTCACTTCTGGCATGTAGCATGCATGCCACCACAGCAGTGTCTGTGTTCTAATAAAACTTTATTTATAACAAACGCACAGCCTGGACTTAGCACACAATCTGTAGTTTGTCAACTCCATATATATTACTACCCCTTCAAAATTTTTCTGGGTAGAAGTTGATTGGATTGAATTTCAATGTTGATGGAGGGGAGACGGGATATCTTCACAATATTCAATGAATCCATTTGTGAACAGTGCTTTTGTGTTAATTAATGCCATAATAAGGCTCTGGTGATACTTTTTAATTTCCCTTTTATGTTTTATGCATTCTGTCTTAGAGCTGTTCTAGCCAGCTTTTGGGTTGTATCTTATTATTGCCATAGTTGTTGGTAACTATTGATGGCTGCTATGGTCTCTACAGAGTTTCTCTGGTTTTCCATATAAGACTTTACTTAGAAATAATACAATTATTATTATTTTAATTAATCTATTTTTCTCTTGTGAGATCTCTGACAATGTGTTTAAAAGCAGAAGCAACCAAGTTACCCTTGTCTTATTCTTAAAATTACAATGAATGAGTGTAAACTTTTGTTTTTCTATTAAAGACAACATTCACTATAAGTTTTAGTTTAAAAAAAAAAACTTGTATACTAAGGAGGAAGGGAAAAAAAATCCACGTTTCCTAATGATTAACTCTATTTTTAAATAAACAAAGCTCTACTAATATATTTTTATATACAGTTTTGTATTATTTGCTGTCAATGTAACACCCCTCATTGGAAGATGTCTTAATATGTAACTATCCCATTACTGTCATGACCACGTTAGCTGCTCACATTGTTTTATTCTTTAGTGCACTGTCATATTGGACTTCTGGGAGTTGCAGATGAAGCTGGCCAAATGTCTTTAAACTAAACTTACGAAATATTCATTGTCAATATCTTCTTAAATACGCTGGCTTTTTAGACTTGTTTTAAAATTTTTTTTACACCTACCTTCTGTTCCTTTAGCAGTGATTCTGAACATGTGAGTCACGACCCCTTTGGGGGCTGAAGGACAAGGGTCATTTATCAAATATCTTCCATATAAGAAATGTACATTATGATTCATAACAATATGAAGTAGCAATGAAATTTTATGATTGGGGTCACCTCAACATGAGGAGCTATATTAAAGAGTTGCAGCATTAGGAAGGTTGAAAACCACTGCTTTAGAGTTAAACAAAACTCATTTGTCAAGTGGTGCCTCTTTTCCTATCACAGGGGGATATTTTGACAATCACGATAAATT